TTTTTTTTTTTTTTTTTTTTTTGGTACCAGGGATCAAACTCAGGTCCTTGTGCTTGCGAGGCAAACAGCAGAACCACTGAGCTAAATCCCCGGCCTCGTTTTGGCTTTTTTTGTTTTCTGAGATAGGGTCTCATGTACTTCAAGTTGGCCTAATTCTCTATGTGGCCCAGGCTAGCCTCAAACTCACAGCAGTCTTCCTGCCTCAGCCTCCCAAGTGTTGGAATTACACACATGCACAGCTACATCCAGCAAAAAAGCTTTTTTCAAACTTCTACTTTCACTTCTGAACACCAGTCTTCTTCTGTTCCATCTATCTTGAGTCCTAAATTCACTTTAGTCCACATACTCCCTGTTAATTTTTTTCCAGATTCTGGCTGCCTTCACCCACGCTACCACTGGCAATGCATAGTTTTCTCTCACTTCAGATCTCCCTTCAGTCCTAACGGTCTACTAGACAGGAAACTGCATCATCACCCCGTCCCCTGACCCGTTTCAATTTTTTAGTAAATGGCAACATCGTCCAAAGCTCCCTGTCAGCTTGCAAGGGCTAAAATGCACGATCTTGCCGTCCATTAATGCTGGCCCCCTAACACCGCAGCCACAGCTGCTGGGAAACTCTCCCGAGACACCTCGCCCAGCTCCTGTTCTCAATCCCTCCTCACTCTTCATTGCTTTCAACTTTTAGTCCTTCAAAGGTCCATTCAGCTGTCACCTCCATGAAACTCTACACACCTCTACCCTCCCCGTCTAAACCGCGTACCTTTGAAGGATAACCACCCCACCCCATCCCCGCAGTCCCGAATGCCATCAACTGCCTTTACCACGCTATACAGTAATCACTCGTCTAAGCACGCTACTCCCCAAAGACATATTTTTGCAGAACAAACCAGAAACTAACTTGGCCTCCATTGAGCGCCTAGAATACAGCTCAATAAACGTTCAACTTTACCGGGATGACCCCAGGAGCAGCTTCTGAGGCACATGCTGCTCGGATCACTCGGTCCGGCCCCACCCACCTTCTCGAAGCGGTCCTGGTCCCAGGCATCGTCGTAACCCGAATAGTTACCTGGAAAGTCCGTGGTATGAACCTAGGGCAAAGACAGGAATCTGTCCACCAAGGGACAGTGGAGCCCAGCCCGACCCCATTCAGATCCCCACCCTAACCAGCCCCGTTCCGGTCTCACTCTCCCTCCAGGCGACAAGGCCTTACATTGCGAACCCCGAACTCCCCCAGAACCACGCGGCTCCGCATCTCCTCCACCGCCTGCGCCGCCGCCATCTTCGACCCGTCCAGGAGACACCCTCCTCACGCTGGCGCTTGCGGCCCAGCAGTCAGAGTACGTATTCGTAGCAACGCTCCGCCTCCTCGAGTCGGAAAAATCGCGAGATCTCACCTCGCCCTCTGTCCACGTCTACAGCTTCCGGAAGTTGGTCCGGGCCAAACATCCGGGTTCTCCTCTTGGAACTCCGGTGGATTCTAGCTGTCCTCCGTGCCCCGGCTCTCTCCCTTGCTCCGGCCCACGCCTCTGCCGCTTCTACTGGGCGCGAGGGGCTCGTGCGAGCCTCAGCAACGGGATTCCTCGAGGAATATGGCAACTCCAGCCGCGCCGGCCGGCGGCGCCCGAAGCGGGACTGGCCCAGAATGGGGAGGGTTCGAAGAAAATATCCAGGTAATGGCCCCAAAGCTCCGGCCAGCAGCAACCTCTAGGGACTGTAGCCACCCTGAAGTGTCGTCCACTCTCGTTCCCCTGGACCTGTCATCCAGGTGGCTTCACACGAATCGGGTCCTGGTGCCGACCCAAAAGGGCCGGGTCGTGTTCCAGAGGAGGGCCGCGGGCCCAGTGCATGCGGGAGGTGCTGGGAAAAACGACCCACCTTCGGGACAAGTTAGGAGGTCGGTCCGGGGCGGGGACTGGGGTCCGCTGGCACTGTGGGTATGGTCTTGTCGAGGGTTTGGGAAAGACAAAAGAAATGGACACTTCTGCAGCCCTCTGAGGGCCTAATAGGGAAGGAAGCAGACATACAAGAAGACAATCGGCAAGTTTCTCGGGCTAGAAGACTACCAGACCCAGCAGCCAAGGGCTCCGAGTAAATGAGGGGAAGGAGAAAGAGTGATCTGTAGTGATTCCAAGCCATGTTCTCTGCAGTGCAGGAACGAAGCCCCAAGCCCTGGGATGAGCAGACCTAATGGATGTAACATTGTCTAGGAGCCATTGTCTCCGCAGGGCGGGGGCTCAGCTGTGATTGACATGGAGAACATGGATGACACCTCAGGCTCCAGCTTTGAGGACATGGGCGAGCTGCATCAGCGCCTCCGCGAGGAAGAGGTAGATGCTGATGCTGCTGCTGCAGATGACGAGGATGGGGAGTTCCTGGGCATGAAAGGCTTTAAGGGACAGCTGAGCCGGCAGGTGGCTGATCAGGTAAGCAAGACTGAACCCTCGGTAAATGGAAAAATAGACCTAGGCATCTTATGTGTTCTGAGTCGGTGCTCTTCAACCCAGGCTGTCCAGTTAGAACTACATAAGCATCCAGCAGAAAACAGGCAGCAGGGGCTAGAACCAGGAGTCTCATAATTCCTACTCCCGTCTCCCTTCAGATGTGGCAGGCAGGAAAGAGACAAGCGTCCAGAGCCTTCAGCTTGTATGCCAACATCGACATCCTGAGACCCTACTTTGATGTGGAGCCTGCCCAGGTGCGAAGCAGGTGAGGACCCTTCTACCAGAAGCTTCCCTCCTAACACCTAGTGCTTTATCTAGACTACAGCTAGATACGGAGCCCCCACTCTGATGGGCTCCCCTCTTCCTCAGCCAGCACCCTCCTTCCTGCAGCATTACTGAACACCCCATGGTGGTGACACATTGTCTTCCTCCTCTTTGCACCCAGTACATTACTCATCCTCTCTCAAAACCTAGCTCAGACTGGGCTTGGTAGCCTTCGCCTGTAATCCTAGCACCTGGGAGGCCAAGGCAAACGGATTGTAAGTCCAGGCCAGGCTGCTACATAGCAAGACCCTGTCTCCAAAACAAAAATGTAGCTCACTAGGCACTTCCTTTGCTCTGTATTCCTCAACCCACCCAGTTTGTTCTCACCCAGTGCTACTGTGTGGAACTCTGCCCTTGCCTCCTGATAGATGACACTTTCGCACTCAGTATGTTCTTATTGTTGTGTCTGTCTCCCTGGAGACCAACAGCCCCTCAAATACAGGTCCTGCCTTTCTGTTTTCATTCCTGGTGCTAGAACAGTCTCAGAATCAGCACATTGGGGCATAGTTATGGAGTGACTTCTCGAGAGGTAGAGTTAGCTGAACATGGTAGAGCACACCTGTAGTCCCAGCTGCTTTTGACGCTGAGACCACAAGGACCACAAGTTCAAAGCCTGTCCAGGCAACTTAGACTTTGTCTCAAAAGAGCAGGGGACGTAGCCCAGTGGTACCACGCTTGCCTTAACACATATGAGACCCTGTGTTCATTCCCCAGTACTACCGGGGGGAGGGAGAGCTTAACCTTAGGTTGGTTCTTTATTTATCCTTTAACCAGTTCCAATCAGATACCCAGAGTGAGGCACTGTTTTCATGATGCTTGATTTAGTGGTGAAGACAGAAGGAAGCCAAACCCAGACTAGTCACTCAGAAAGAGACTTCTTTCTCAACCTTTTCCAGGACTTCACATCCCAGCCCTGAGTTCCAGGTCCCTCTGCTGAGGTCCACCTGTCTGGAAGGGAGAGAATAGGTCAGATAGGTAACAGCTAGGCCTTCTCCCAAAGCCCAGAGAACTTCTCTGAGATCCCCAAATAGCTGCTGCCCCAGTCGGCTCCCTTGCAGAGCACTGTCCTTCCTGGAAGTGATGTGCTCCTTCCCTTCATCTTTACAACCCTTTCCTTGCCACCCTCTAGTATGTCCGTTCCCTGGAGCGAGAAAGATAAATAGGGTCAGACCTTGTCCTCCAGAGCCTCCTTGCCAAGTGCTGCCTTTGCTCTCATCTCTCCTCTCCCCTCCCAGGCTGCTGGAGTCCATGATCCCCATCAAGATGGTCAACTTCCCCCAGGTGACTAGGGGCCGGCTGGGAGGGGGCTGGGGGCACCAGGCCAGGCCTGGAAAGGTAGAAAAAGGCATTGCACTCTCCAACCTGAAGGAGTTGGTTTTTTGACAGAAAATTGCAGGGGAGCTCTACGGTCCTCTCATGCTGGTCTTCACACTGGTTGCCATCCTTCTGCATGGGATGAAGACATCTGACACCATTATCGTAAGCAGGACAGGACTGGGGGAATGGCTGAAGTAGGTTAAAAGCTGCCCATACACACAATGGTAGAGTGAGACTGGCAGCCCTTGCAGAAGGTCCTTGGCAAATGAGGCTGGGATTGAGGCCTCCTGGGGCTAACTGACCCTTCACCCCACAGCGGGAGGGGACCCTGATGGGCACAGCCATTGGCACCTGCTTCGGTTACTGGCTGGGCGTCTCGTCCTTCATTTACTTTCTCGCCTACCTATGCAACGCCCAGATCACCATGCTCCAGATGCTGGCACTCCTGGTAAGGAGCCAGGCCTTGGTCTGCTTTTGTCCCGGGCCCCCTGGCCCTGGGGTGGGAGGATCAGCCAGTGGCCATGTATTTCCCAGGGGCTGGGTGAGGGATGAGGCCTGCCCAGCCCAGTGATTTTCCTCTCCACCACTGTCTTCCCAGGGCTATGGTCTCTTTGGGCACTGTATTGTCCTGTTCATCACCTACAACATCCACCTCCATGCCCTCTTCTACCTCTTCTGGCTGCTGGTGGGGGGGCTGTCCACCCTGCGCATGGTAAGTGGGCACTGTCCTCCCTGGGGGAGTCCATGCTATGTACCTGCTGGGGCTCTAAGTGGAAGGCAGTTCACAGATTGTTTGCCCTGGTAGGAAGGGGGGCAGGTCCACCCCATCCCTCCTTTGACTGCAAGTTCTCCAAGCTGCATCCTGTGCTCCTAGGTGGCAGTGCTGGTGTCTCGTACTGTGGGCCCCACCCAGAGGCTGCTCCTGTGTGGCACCCTGGCCGCCCTGCACATGCTTTTCCTACTGTATCTGCACTTTGCCTACCACAAGGTGGTAGAGGGTAAGTGCGGAGGGCTGTATGAGGAGTCAGAGTCACAGTCAGGGGCTGTGCTTATTCACTTTCTCCTTACCACTGCTTCCTTGCAGGGATCCTGGACACACTGGAGGGCCCCAATGTCCTGCCCATGCAGAGAGTCCCCAGGGACGTCCCCGCTGTGCTCCCTGCTGCCAGGCTTCCCGCCACCATGCTCAATGCCACAGCCAAGGCTCTTGCGGTGTCCTTGCAGTCACACTGACCCCACCTGAGGTCCATGGCCAGCCCTATTGCCCCAGTTGTGGAGCAGAAGATAAAAGGACAAGACTGTGTGTCTCTTTGCTGGGGTCTTCAGCCATCACTGAGCTGTACCTACCTAGGTGCCTCCCACGACACTTGTCTGGGCTGCTGAAGGGCGCAAGGCTGGGAACTCCTGGCCAGGACTGCCAGGCTCGAGCCAGTACAAAGTGGGTCAGCACCCCGAACCCCCCCCATGTTGCTAATTATAGACTTGGTAATTAAAACACTGCTTGAGTCTGGAACTGCAGCTCTTGTTCCAGTGGTCTCCTGTCACCCTGCCTCCTGTACATGCAGGGGTAATGTACCAAGTCCCTCTGTCCCCTCACCCAGGCAAGATGAAGGTGGGAGAAACCAGACCACTTAGATGGCAGCAACTTTGTGGAACCTGACCAAGGGCGGAGGACATGTGACCCCTGGAGCAGAGGGAAGGCCTGATGAAGAGTGCTCTGAGCTTGTTTGCTGCCTGCACTTTCAGGAAAGCCAAAGGAGCAATACTGACTGGACAGAAACTTCCAAATAGAGCCTCACATAAGTACAAGGACCTGGTGCATCTGGGCCACTGTGGAGCAAACTCCCATGGAAAAAAAAAGTCTGAGACCAACTTGACTTTGCCCTGCTTTTACCTGGGCCAGCTCCCATCCGTTTTCAATTTCTGTTCTCTTCTTTCAAGAATACCCTAGCCTTGTGCCACCGACCACTCTTTCAGTCTGTGCCATTTGAGTTAGTTCAGAATTCAGGCTGGCCTTGGTGTCTCATACCTACAAACCCAGCACTTGGAGGCTAAGGCAAGAGTACTACATACAAGCAGAAGCTCAGCCTGGGCAACTTACCAAGACCATCTCAAAAAAGAAAGTTCAGTGCAAAGGCCCTGGGAGTTTTGCAAGATAGCTATAAAGGAAATAGAGCTTTGACTCACTACTTTGAGGGGGGGCCGTGCTGGTGGGCTTGGAGCCCAGGGTCTTGTTCATACCAGGCAAGTGAATGCTGTTCCACTGAGCCACACCGCCAGCCCATTATTTACTTTTTCTAAAAATAAACTGTCACTGCTAACCCTGGGCCAGCGGCATTGACTTCCCCATAAAGGGACGGACAGCAGTGCTCTTTATTTGCCCTGTGTTACCCGGAGCACTCCCACTACAATTGGTGCCCCAGGCCATTTCCCCTACAGGTCCCCACGCTGGGTCGCTGTTTCTGGCACCCCTACACCTTAGCCCCTCCATTCTCAGGCGACAATAAAGGAGTCCACAGGGCCCCGTCCCCGGCACCTGGGCCTGCGGTCCACTTGTTTGCTCCTAGGGGCAGCTGGGGCGGTCTCTGCGGTCTCCCAGGCGCCGGGTTTCAGGGAAGCGCTGGCGGAATCCCTACCTACGCAGCGCGCGTCATGGGCAGGCGGGGCGCTGATTAAAGGGTCCGGGACCTCGGAGCCCGAGAGACACGTGCAAGGGGGTCACAAGGGAGGGGTGGTGGCGCAAGACCCTTAAAGGGCCAGGATGGCGGGGAATGGCTGCAGAGGAGGTCGTGGTGTCACAACCCCCTTCACGAGCCACGCCCCCTTTCCGCCCTCTCGGTCCCGTGGGTCCTAGGCCCCAGCTCTTTCCACCTGCTGTCTGGCTCGGCGTGGTCCCGGG